GAGTAGGGAGTGAGCTGGGTGGTGTGGACCCTGCTGTGCCTGAGGTTGTGGGTGAAGTTTTTGTGTCTGAGCAGAGTATGAGCTGGGTGGAGTGAATCTTTGATTATGTTTTCCGCTTTTTTATGACAGTGCTTTGTGTATATTGTGTCCATAGCAGGCAGTTCAGTCCCAGTGATCCTCTCTGCAGTCTTTATGACCCTTTGAAGAGACTGCAATGCCAAAGGTGAGGATGCTGTAAGCCTGGGTGAGAGGGCGACGGTTCAGAACAGCTGGTAGGCTTTCTTTACTGTGGCAGCTGTGTTCAGTGACCAGCTCAGGTCAGATGTCGCCTGCAGGCCCAGGAACTTGTGGCTGTCAGCCCTCTCCACCTCAGTCCCTTTGATGGTCAGAGGCAGCAGAGGGGAGGGGTTCTACAGAGGAATCATTGAGTCTGTTCTCTGCATCTTCATCACTGTCTGGTTTGGCTCGACAATCAAACAGGACAAGTACAGACTTCAGCGGATAGTCAGGACTGCAGAAAAGTTCATTGGTGTGAGCCTGCCCCCCATGGAGGACCTGTACACCTCACAGGTCAAAAGGAGGGCGAAGAGGATCACTGCAGACCCCTCACACCCTGGACACAATCTGTTTGAACTCCTCCCCTCTGGACGACGATACAGGTCACTGCACCAAGACAACCAGGCACAGGGATAGTTTCTTCCCCTAGGCTGTCACTCTGAACACTTAACCAACGACAGTATGATTGGACAATAACCCTCAGTGCAGTGTGTGTGTGTGTGTGTGTGTGTGTACATTGTACAGATCATACAGACTTGTACAGATTTCTAGTTTTAAGTGTTTTTATCTCTATCTCATTTCAAGGAACCGTCCTCTGAGCATCAGCGACATCGAATCCATGTGGGACTCCGTCCTGAGCCTGTACCACAACCTCGTCACAGGCTCCAAAGACTTCCCTCTCATTCAGTTCCACGGACACCTCACCTCCTTTCCGTTGGAGTCACCCTTCAATTCCATGCAGCAGGAGTGGGAGAACACCACACCCTCACCTGACGGCTGTACCACCAGGCATGATGGTGCCCGCTCCAGCTCAGCTCCTGCAAATATTCTCACTCCAGTTCTCCCTGAGAAGACGGAGCTGGGAACACATGAATAATGTTCTTCTGTGCTAAATGATGTAAACTGTGCTTTAGAAATGTATATGCAACTTTGTCATCCTGACAAAGGGAACTAATATTTTCCTGTTGGTTCTGTCCATTCAGCTGACCTGCCTCCATCAGATGAAGTAGTTCAGCTGATTGTCACCAACCTGAGGAACCGTCCTCTGAGTGACACCAACATCGAGTCCATGTGGGAGTCCTTCCTGAGCCTGTACCACAACCTCATCACAGGCTCCAAGACTTTCCTGTTATTCGATTCCAAAGATGCACCCACCCAGTTCTGATGGAGATGCCCTTCTTCTTCGTGGAGGGCGAACACCACACCCTCACCTCTGACGGCTGCACCACCAGGCATGATGGTGCCCGCTCCGGCTCCTGCAAATATTCTCACTCCAGTTCTCCCTGAAAAGACGGAGCTGGGAGCCCTGAAGGCTGACCGCAGAAACCATGTGCAACTGGCAGCAGCACTGTGACCAGAGTCATCTCCCCAGTCTACCGCTCTGACCGCAGTGAGCTGACAAACCGCTGGACAGTGACTGACTACAGTGCAGAGGGACAAGTCCTCATGTCAGTGCTGTGTTACTTCTTCAACCAGCCTGCACAGTCTGCAAGGCCTCTGAGCCAGAAGAGGGCAAGGGAGGACACAGAGGAGGACGGTAGCAGCAGCAGTCCAGCAGGGAAGTGCCTTAGAATGTGAAGGCATGGCCCAGGTGTTCTCATGAGCAAACCAGGACACCCAACAGCTCCATGTTCTGAGATTTGATCTGCTGCAGTTTCTGGTTGTTCCCTTCAATACTAACATTTTTGGACTTGAAGGCTGAAGGGGACACCTTCAACATATGACTTGGTTGGTTTCCCTCACCAGGAGGGTGAGGGAGAACTGGGGTTGGACTCACAATTGCTGACCCAGGTGCTAGTACAAAAAGGGGGTTTATTGTAAAAATCAACAACAACAAAGTAACAACATAACAGGGTCCGTAATACTTACAACCAGGGAAGGACAACTAAGGAGACCAGGACGAACAGGTACACGTACACTGATGGCAGGAACTAGGATAGCAGAAGATGTGGACGGACAGGCGAACAAAAGAACTAATGTACACAATATAATCCACAGTACAGAGACTGTCAGCGTGGACGACAGAAGGACATATAGCCAACCGCAGAATAGCGTGAATAGGTCAAGCCAAAAACGCACAGGAACTGTCGGCATAGCATCTA